TACATGATGACATTTAAATATGGAAGCCCGTTTCCACCAAAGAATAAAATATAAATAAATAAAAAAGATTACTGTGACTTCTCACAATTCAGACTTTTCTTGTAATTCCGTTTTAAGTCAGCAATTAAATGAAAAAAGTGTGACTTTTTATCTCACAAGTCCAATGTTTTCCTCCTCGCAATTCTGTTTTGCTTCTGCAATGACATAAAAAAAAGATAACTGCGACTTTTTATCTCTCAATTCTGACATTTTTCCTTGCAATTCGGTTTTGTTTCCACAAAATATTTTTAAAAATGCAGTTGCGACTTCTCACAACTGACCCTTCACAAAGACCCGCCCCCCCCTTAGTTACCTTTGCTACATCCGACCAGCCATGGTGCTCTCATGCCACACACCATGTTCTCACGCAGTGAAAAATACACGGCGGAGCAAAGAGGAAACTGACAACGTGCCAACAGACGAGACAGAGCAAGTATCAGCTTTCTAATTTTGTTAATTTTTTAAGAAATTCAAACAATAAATACCATTTTGTGGCTCTTTAATGTGTGGTGACAGACCACTGTAGCGTCTCAGTTCAAGCGGCACATGATCCGATCATCTCTTCCTCTTTACTAGTTATAGTACAAAATAAACATGAATGAACATCAGAAGGTATCTTGTTTCAACCGCAGAAAGACATCAATGCACACTATTTTTCAAGTTGAAGTCCACCGACATTAATCTACTCTCCAGTCTGGTTTGTTTGTCGGACAAAATAGCAGATTCTGTGTTATGATTGGTCAGATCACCTGTCAATCAAACTCCCAGCGAAGGTCAACTCAATTATGACTTTTTTTCCTCTCGCAATTCTGTTTTGTTTCACCAAAACGAAATTAGAAAAACTTAGCTGTGACTTTTTCTCTCACAATTCTGACTTTTTTCTTGCAATTGCGAGTTAATATCTTGCAATTCTGAGTTTATATCTCTCCTTTTTTGCCATACAAACAGAGTTGTGGGGGAAAAAAAGTCTGATTTGTGAGATAAAGTCATAATAACCTTGTTTTTATCCTGTGGGGGAAACAAGTTTCCTAATTTATAATATTTATTCCATATTTAAAAACATTTTGGGGGTCGTTGTGTTGCTTCGTTGGCATAAACAACACTAAAGACAAGTCTTTGGTACTTGTTGGGTCTTTCCCAAAAAGACTCATGGCTGTATTCGATCAAAAGGGTGCTTCTACTAAATACAGAGCATACTTAGGACCATGTGATATTTCAGTTTTTCTTTTTTAATAAATCTGCAAAAATGTCAACAATTCTGTGTTTTTCTGTCAATATGGGGTGCTGTGTGTACATTAATGAGGAAAAAAAATTTACTTAAATGATTTTAGCAAATGGCTGCAATATAACAAAGAGTGAAAAATTTAAGGGGGTCTGAATACTTTCCGTACCCACTGTATATATAAAAATCTAATATATTTCTGGTTTAAACAGCAAAAGGTACCACTTGTGTCAAATCAAATTGCACATTTGTAATTCAAAATAAACAGAGCACATATGATCGGCTTCCATTAAAGACCAGTGGCTGCGCCGAGAGGCCGTTTCTCCTTAAATAAAACATTTCCACCATCATCATGTCTGATCTTGTTTTTCTCTGCCTGTGATCCGCCGACCGGCCCAGAAAAGCCAGTCAAATTTGGGTAGCGCCGCTCGCCAACCTGTGGCCTGGAGAAACAACATGCTTAGGAAGATCAAATGGGATGGGAGATGTGTAATTACTGGTGGTTATGAAAACTGGCTGTCATCCTCAACGCGGCGAATTCAGAGCCGCCCGAGGACAGCGAAGGCAGACACGCCTGGAAAAGCACTAATCCAGCACACTTAACTAAAGAGGCAGGCTGTTGCTTCACTTCGTTCAGTCTGGAGTTCAATACAGAGGCAAATGAACCATAGACTTTAGGGCCAGGTGACATATATTGAACCTTCAAGGATTCAAAGTGTTTACTGTCATATGCCCATTGAGGAAAACAAGGTTCCCTGAGCAATAAAATTCTTACTTTGCTGTCCACAATGAATGCCAAGACAGTGCAAAGCTATACACACACATACACAAACTATACACACATACATACAATGTAAGAAACATAATAATAAAAACTGTGCTGCAGTAGTAGGAATATAGACTATGGAAAAAATTGAAATATAGACTATGTGTATCTATATATGCGAGTATAGAGTAGAAATATAGAATGTGAAAATAGAAATATAGACTATGTATATGGTATCTACATATGCGAATGTACAGTATTAACTTATGTGCAAAAAACAATAGTGCAGTAACATGTGCAAATGTTACACGATGCCGGCTCAACGAGATTATATATATATATATATATATATACATACACGCACACATAAAGCAAGTACATAACATTCTCCAGATATTTATTAAAAGATTAAAAGTATATAGTTTTAGATTTATTTTTCCTTGTGGTCATGTGTTGTAAAACATTGTGGGAAAACATGCATTTATTACTATTTTAACTAGATTTTTACTGTATGTTACTTTTTATATTAAACACTTTTAAATCTAAATTGCAAAAATACAATTAAAACCCCCAAGCAATTACAAAGCAAATACATATAAATATCCAGATTTATATATCAAATATTGTCAAAAGACCAAAAAATATAGAGACATAATTCGTCCAGCCCTAGTGCACTCCATAACTGGATGCACTGCATACAAACATGCTATACAGTAGATCATTGGATATCATTCTTCCCAGCAGTAGATAAAAGCCGTAATGTTGAATTCATGTGGGCTGGCCAAAGGAAAAAGTGAGGGAAGAAAAGATAGAAACTTCCCCCTACCCCCACCTGCTTCTATCACTTTGTCCCCTAGAGGAAGGGAACATTATGCAGGAGGACAATGCGCCAAAGCAAGCCAGGCCTGTTTCAACAGGTTGGCGCTGCAACAAAAAGCATCTGTCTGTTCGACACGCTCTCTATAAGCAAGAGACTGATACCCTTCTGTAAAACACATGTGCATGCATTATCTTTCTGATAATTAGTTCTACTCAGCGGATGTTTCTTAACCAACGCAAAAGCACTCGCTCAAATACAACTGCCGCCTTCAGCGACTCGACACAGTTCACAAAACACCCTTTACAGAGCTTGAACTTTCAACCTTTGAGTTACAAACCCACAATGTTCTTTTGCATGGGCTTGCATTCATAATTTACACTTTGCATGTAGATACTAGTTACCGGTGGCATGAATAACACCTCAAAACATTTGTGATTTTGATAAAATGGCCTAAATAAACTCTCAGACTTACACTGAAGAGAGACCAGAATATCACAGAGATTTGAAGGTGGACTTTCCTCACTTGAAACAGTAAGAAACCACCTAGCAACCACTCAGAACACAGCGCATTTTGCACTCACACCGCTCACACTTTCTTAAGATAAAGCAAAAATGTAGCTACAACTTGCAACCGAACGGAGAAGCTAAATGCATTTTGCCAATAAAACAAATCTCCAGAAACACTTTTCTTCATCCGTGTCTAATGAAGCAATCATCTCTTAATGTGAACTGCTCTCAAATTCAAACGCAACCTCATCAAGCTGATCACAAACACGCACTGCACTAACAAAAAATCGGATTTAGTTTATTTTTATGATGCAATAACTCTTTCCCACAGGGATAAAGGCTTTCAAGATCCATTTACAGTTAGTGCATCCCCTCTGGCTTGATCTGGACGGCTCTTGCAGAGAATCGCAGAACTCGCAGCCTTCAAAGCCCAAACATCTGGCAGTATGGCCTCAGAGAACAGACCTAACAGTTTACAACACCACAAATCTATCAGCTCCAATAAGAGCCGGGCGGTTCTTGGCACTCACACAGATGCATTCGATGACTTCCCAGGTGAGTGATTCTGCATGCAAGACGACAACATGTACACTATGCCATCAGCAAACTCTATAGACTTCTATGTTATTGATTATGCAAAGAGTTGTTGGCGTTTCTGGTACTATGTGACAAAACATCTATAGTGGCCACAAAATTGTTAAATATAATAGTTTGAAATAAGCAGAATGTGATTGCATTTATTCTGCCAAATGCTTTGTTAGAAGAGTGACAAATGACACTTTCTTTGATCTAATATCTAATGCAATGCCATTCGGACAGTTTTAGGTGTCCAAATACTTTTTACATTCAACTGTTTGCAAGTTAAAGCTTCCAAGACCGAAAGTGATCATGCAAAGAATTGTTGGTGTTTCTGGTACTACATGACTTGTATCATGGCCTAAAAATTTAAATGAAAAGTCCAAAATAAACAAAGTTATTGCATTTTTAATTTGTTAACCATTTTGCTAGAAGAGCATGCATGTGCTGTTTCTTTAGAACAAGTGCCACTTGCTTTGATCTAACAATAATGCATTGACATTCAAACAGTTTTAAGTGTTGCTCAGTTGTCCAAATACTTTTTAGGGTCACTGTCTGCCAGTTAAAGCCCCCAAGTCCAAAATGATCATGCAAAAAACTGTTTTCTGGTACTATATGACAAAACATCTACAGTGGTGCCAAAAAATAGTCAAAAATGAATGTGATTGTGTGGTTTCTTTACAATAAATGACACTTGCTTTGATCTAACATCTAATGCACTGACATTCAGACAATGTCAAAAGAGTCCAAATACTTTTTAATGCCAATGTCTGCCAGTTAAAGCCTCCAAGAGCAAAGATGCATGAGATACACAACTGTATTCCCTTACAGATCCTGCGTTGTTACCTAGACTCTATAAAGGGGTTTTCGCAGCAATGCAATAGAACCTCCATTTCAAGAACCTTTCAGTGAACAGTTCTTGAACCATTTTCCCAGTATAAAGAACATTTTAAATAATCTAAAGAACCTTTTTCCACAACAAAGAATGGAAAATTCCAAGAAGATGCCAACAAAGAACATCAGTCCAATGCATGGCTTGAAAAAACCTGAAAACATCTTCCAGCTCTTACCTGCATCAGTTTCCCTTCAGCATAGCCTGCGCTGCCCCCGGCGAACACCCCTTCTAGGGTGATTGGCCTGCTGGTGGGCTCCTGTTTCAGCAGTGACACCTTGATCATGGCTCGGGGTGCGGAGCGTTCAGACTCCACAGCAGCGGCTAGTTCCAGGCCCGTGTGGCCCAATGCCACCTGCAAGACAGCCATGAGCAGCCACGGCCAGAGCCCGGCCAATCGCTGCACAGGAACCCTCATTGTCCTGGCTGCAGCGGCGGGCCCCGGCCATACATTATGCACTGTCCACAAAGCTATCCGCCCAATCAGAGCTCAGCTGAAAGACAGGAGAATCCTTAGAGGTCACTGAAACTGTCCAAAAAAAAAAACCAGTGGCTTTTAGAGTGGGTAGTTTTTTTAGTTTTTTTTTAATTCAGCAGGGTTGAGATTTGAAATAGAAGAATATTATTAACAATTGAATGGAACTTCAGTTGGTGACTGGCCTCAAGTATCACTGACAGAACATGACTGACAGAGTGATTGACAGCGGGCAGCCTCCTGGCGCGAGCATCGATTTAAACCACAAAAAGAGTTTAATATGACCGCCTAAAGGTCATTTCAATGATATTGCAGATTTCCCCGTGGCATCCCACGCGTCGTGATTGATAACGAGACGTCATAATGACTCCATTATTGTGCGGTGCGCCGCGTCCACTTCAAAGGATTCCAAACATTCCAGAATGTAGCAGGTTGTAGCAGAATCACCGCATCCGTCAATGCAACAATGTCTCAGTTACTCCACTCTGATCAAGCCGCAGAGAACACGCGTAACAATCCCACTGTGAACGGCTGGAATTTTTTTCCATGCGGTCCAACATAAAAAAAAATAATTATCCAGATAAAACAAGAACTTCGCGGGAGCGATCGAAAACACTGTCAGGAGGGAGCCGTTTCTGAACACTCATTCCCATGTTCCTAAATGAATTAAGACTTCACAAATCTGTTCGACTCAGATTATATCTCCACAGATCCATGTCGAGAAATCCAGTCACTTCAAGTGTAGAAGCCTCAGTGCTGTTGATCCGAACTGCAGGAACGCTGGAAAAGTTTAAAGTTGAGAGTGAACGCGAGTGTGAGCTTGCGTGCGTGCGTGCGTATGCGCGTGTGTGTGTGTACCTGCTGACTGTCAGCGAGGGTGGAGCAGAACTTATCCGACCCATTAAACGCGCGCGCGCACACACACACACGTCTGGTTTACTATCCCTGTGGGGACTCTCCATAGGCGTAATGGTTTTTATACTGTACACACCGCATATTCTATCGCCCTACACCTAAACCTACCCCTCACACCAAACTTTCTGCATGTTTACATTCTCAGAAAAACTCATTCTGTATGATTTATAAGCTTGTTTCCCCATGGGGACCTCAATTTAGGTCCCCATGAGTCGGTGTGTATTCAGGTTTAAGTCCCCATCGGGATAGAAAAACATGCACACACATTACACACACTCTCTCGCACACACACTGCGCCCTCTAGCTGACATCACTGGAGAAACATCAGAATTACAGAACGATGCTGGATGCCAAAACTGATTTTCTAAGCATAACGTGAATATAATCATCAGTGTAACAACTGTTAAGCTTCATAATAACCTTGTAAAATGCAATGGACTTATGACTGAATAATTATTATCCCTCTAATGCATGCACAGCCATGTGAAAGGAATAGTTCACCCAAAACTGAATATTTGCTATAAACGTATTCACGCTCAGGCCATCCAACAAGTAGATGAATTTGTTAATGCGAACAGATTTGGAGAAATGTATCATTCTATCACTTGCTCAGCAATGGATGCTCTGCAGTGAATGGGTGCCGTCAGAACGAGAGTCCAAACAGCTGATAAAAACATCACAATAATCCACACAACTCCAGTTCATCAGTTAATGTCTTGAGAAGCCAAAAGAAACAAATCCATCTTTAAGACTTTAACTTCAAACTGTTGCTTCTGACTAAAATACAGGCCCAGCGAGGGTGAATAGATTTTCTGCTATTTTTATTTTTTGTTTTTGAGTGAACTATTCCTTTCAAATCAAAAATCAGACGTTGAAAAATAGTATTTTGGATTTGTCCTTTTAGGGATGTTGATTTGCGCAAAACAGACAGAAATAAATGGAAGACAGGTTTTTATTTACAGTAGGCCTTTCTGTAGTTAAATTGAGTGACTACAATTTGTCAGAGGGCAACAAAATAAAAAGGTTAATTACACTAAATAACAGAGTAACATACTTCAGCTGCAGAATCTAATTGTATTGTCTCCTAATTTAAAGGTATACTTAACTACTAATTAAATTATAGGTCATTTTATAATAAAGTCCTTAGGGAAATAAGGATTTATTTTACTGGACACAGGGCCATCGTTAGGAATTCTGGGCCCTGTGCACTGAATTTGCTATGGGACCCCCACAAAATCATGGACCCCTATTACTCAGTTCCACTATTACCCTGTCTGACACCCCTGACCGGACATCTATCATGACTTGAGCTGCTTTATAATATAATAATATAAAAAATATAATTATCTGAGCAGTCAAAATAACATAAAACACAGCAATGACACACATTCAGCCTTTATCAGGGATTTCACTTGCTTTGCATTTATTCAAATTCAAAAAGGCTGAAAACAAATCAGTTCATTCAAAGCTATTAAAATCTAACTTTCACTCTTGTGCTACAATGACATTTTTTGATATATATTGATGCTTATGGATACTGAAATATATGAAATATAAGATAAATAATTTAAGAATATATATATATATATATATATATATATATGA